CTGTGTGTTGGCCTAGTCTGTATTTTACAGGTACAAAATGCCACAGGTGCAGCCACATGGCCAAGAGATGCAGTACACAGTCCTCAATCATTCAATCATTGGCTTTTCCTCTGAAAACAATGGGAGAGGGCATGCAGTCAGTTATTATGCTGTGGCCCATATCTTCCCCTCTGGCTGTGCAAAATCAGTGCACGGGTGTATGTCTCTCACAGCCACCTTATCCTCTGCCTGCAAAGGGAAGAGCTCTTGGGGTGTCTTGCTACATTAGCCTTATTACCTTTACCCTTGAGCCACATTTCAGCTGACCAGGGAAGTGAATTGAGAAAGGACTTTCAACAAAAAGGTTCCTTCCCCTCTAACCCTTCCTGCATGTACAGGTAGGTCCACACACACACCTCCTTTTACATGCACACACACACGCACACACACATACACGTGTTTATAGGAGCAGGGCCCAACGCAAAACCATCAAGAAATTCAAACATTAACTTTGGCTAAATTATGTCTTGTCTCAAATCAGGCCACATTTGAGAAGCAAGAATGCTGTGTATTCATCACCTAGTAATAAGTAATTTATACACTATCTAAACACAACGTGAAAGCCAGAATTATGTATTTAGTGGTCTTCTGATAAAACAAGAGATAAATAAACTTCTAACGTCACCAAACCTTCATCCTCTGCCTCCAGAGTACACCATTTCAAAATCCTGAGTTACTGGGAAGATCAAATTTGGGTCCCCAGCACAAACTGGCTGTAATTTTAATCTTCTCCCTTCTTCTGAGGAGCTGTGTAAGCATGACCTCTGTATGTAGCCCATCACATGTAAAATATGATGCCTGTGGTTCAGAATGTGGGTCAGATGCCTCAAGTAACACTGAAATAAATACTGCTAGTAAAATACTCAAATGTAGTTTTAGGGAGTGGATCTCCTCTAACGCTTTACGTTTAAAGGTGTGTTTGGAACTGATCTGGATGAAGAGGAAAGCAAATGAGGTTTGAAGAATTTCACAGAGGAGATGATAGAATCATTAGTGTTGAACTTAAAAACTGTGTATTCCCAAGCAGAACCTCCGTTCATATTTAAACAGCTTGATCATAATTTTCATTTCACTCCATCACAGATACTTCAGAAGGTGACTTGCTCAGTATGCCTTGCTCTGCAGGGTAAGAGAGACTGTAGGCGATTCAAACAGTTTAAACCCCTATGAATCTGTGATTCTGTGTCACTATCTCGTCACACCATGCTGAACGTATAAAATAAACAAAAAGTCCGAGCGCAGTTTCACAAACCATCAGAATTTTACGAGACAAGTGCCACTAGAGGGGGCTGGCTGTACGCAGCTGCGCTGCAGCATCGGGAGGGTACAGAAATCTCTGGGACACCACCACCATTCTGGGCAAACACACCTCACTGTAGTCGTAGCCACATAAACTGCAAATCCTGCCCGGAACCAGGGGAAGAACCCAGACTGCTGACCTCAGCAATGCTGTATTGCTGTGTTCGTGCTGCTCTCTGTTCCAAAGGTGCGCCTGCAGAGCCACCCCAGGCTGGAGGTGAGCAAAGGCTCACCAGCTGGAAGCAATGCCCGCAGCCCCTGCAGTTTTCGCGGCTGCAGAACACAGCTGCGGCGTGTGTTTGTATCCAGCTCTGGCACCTCATTCTCACTTCTCCAAGTTTGCCCACTTCTATTCCTATATTCCCTTGACTCCTTTTATTATTCATGTTTTGTGAAAGACATACTGAATGCCAACTCTCCCTGCTGCTGCCAGGTTAGCAATGCAAAGTACATCCCTCTGCCCCTGGAGCCTGGCAGATAGGCTGGGAATCTGGGCCAGAAATCCTGAATGCTTTTGGAGCTCTTTCAGTCTGGAAACACTTCCTATTAATTAGTCCTGGGAAGCTTTACAGCCATTCCTAAAATAATGGAAGAAATTGCTTAAAGTTATCCCTAGATACCCCTAGCAGCTCAATATTAGTGAACATTTTTTCTTTGGAAGACACAGGACTATTGGTCCTTAAAGGCATATCTATTCAGGCAGGAACTGACACATAGAGGTTCCTCCATGTGTCTGGCACAGCCCAACTCTCACTTGGAAGCCAGAGAGTGAAGGAGTGCAGCTCTTGAGATACTGCTGCTGCTACTACTGCTACTACAACTACTACTACTACTACTACTACAAATTTGCATGGAAGACAATGTAACTGCAGCTCACAGCTCCTCCTCTGCCAGCCAGCTTTGAGCCCAGAGCACAGGAGGTCACACGTGTCCGTGTTTATCTACACCTGCATCCCACCTTGCAGAAGCACCTACTGTACTCTCCAGTGCCAGAGTTCATTTTCCTCACCATGAGCAGGCAGGAACAGGTGAGAGAAAGCCAAAGGTTGCTGTTAATTTTACTGGGCATCTTGCTAGTTCCTGGATTATTTTTGAATTTCAGCCGTGGGCTCTTCAGTGTGCACAAATCTTCTGGAATACATCAGTCCCAAACAACTTTGAAGAAAAATCTCTCTTCCTTCTTAACCACGGACCTTTTGCTTTCCTGCTCCTCTCAAAATGATGGAGTGGTTGTTCAGGCTATCTGCTCCATGGTAGGCATTGAAATTGCTGTGGTGTCTAGATCAATTTTGTCCTCTGTATGTGAAGCTTTAACACTTAGCCAGTGGCAATCTTTATGCAAGTGACACATTGCCCTGTTTTCTGTGTTTGAATAATGCTTATTATCATTTGCATAAACTTCTTAAATCTTCCCTCTTCACTGTGATATCCGTGAGTTTTGCTTAACCTCTGAATTCCCTCTTTCAGTTCTCTTTCTGCAACATCCATTTCTGCTTCTACATTTAAGTTTCTCTAGTTTCACTCCCAGTCCCCACTGCTGTCTACCCCCATTTCTGGCAGCCTGTACCTGAGTTCTTGTACAGAGATTAACTGACCTCAGTTAAAATCCCAGCAGAAATGAGTAGTTGAGTTTTTCACTATGATTAGTGGAGTGGAGTGGAGAAAGAGTCACCAAGTTACTTCCATCCTTCAGCTCCACAGAAACATGATTTCAGATGTATTAACAGAGTGAAGCACAGCAGCATCTTGGCTTGGTCTTTGTCCACAGTCACCTAAATTCTCCTTGTAGCTCCCCGAGGCACCTGAAGGCTCACTGCTGCACACATAGATGGGTTACTGTTCTGTAGGAACCACACAAGGACAACACTGAGTTCACTTGAGATTGATGAGGAGGAAGGGAAAAAGGAAGCTGTGCCTGCCCAACTGAGCAGAGGTTGGAGCACTTCCCGGGAGGCGAAAAGGAAGGAATCTGTGACTGAGTCCTGAAGCGGTTTCACTACTTATAACTTTGCTGCAGGAGAGCTCACCAGCCACAAGTCAATAGGAATAAAGTGATATGCTGTGGAAAGCAGCAGCAATGGTGGGGAGAGAAAGGGGGGGCTACTACAGCTACATAGCTGTCATCAGGCATGCAATATTCATAGGGTCAGAGCAAGAAGTCAGCAGAAGGCCTTTGCAGCCCAATGCTCATAGAAGCAGGAGGCCTGTGTGTTGGGCTCTGTCCTTGATCCTACTGATGCAATTCAACCAGCAATTATTTTGGGACAAATACTGCGTTCCTTTCACTGGGGCACAGGTGTCCATCTGCCCACAGGAGTGCTTGGATACAAAGAAGACCTGTGTCAATAATTTTTCATCTCTCCCTCAGCATTTCCCTCCTCTGTCTCAGAGTCCCACCTGCCTTTATGGTACTGTATGTACAACATCTGTAAAAAGCCGTTTCCAGACTTTCCAACCTCAAGTCAAACAATATTGAGTGACTCCTAAGACACACAACAAATCCAAGGCGCTTCCAAATGAAGGCTGTGAAAACACCAGGCTTGGGATAGCCCCACAGGGCCATACTGGAAAGTCCCTTTCTCCTGTTCCGTCCAGATTGTAGTTGTGGGTGTTCCACAGCCAGGGAAATCTCAGACACTGGCTTCAGTGCATCACGGTCCAAAATCTGTTACAGATCTGTCACAAGAATCCTTCAATATAGGAAGTGTTTGCTTTGGAATAGGCAAAAGTACAGTGTTTGTTACAGAGATTAGAACAAAACCCTTCAACTGTAGCTGTGAAAAAATGCTGGATTTCTGTAATTTAACCAAAAGATACGAAAATCTGTCACACTTAATAATTCTGTATCTGTCTTGTTAAATGAATTATAATAAAATCAGGGGTTGGGGTTTTTATTTTTTAAAATTAAACCAGCAATTGTGTTTCACTGTGTTTGTATATTGTATCACTAGTAACTGTACTATGTGGGAAACAATACAAAGCATCAGCTAAGCCCTTACTGAGCAGTACTGTGGTTAAGGGGTAACAAGTCAGAAGCTGGAGCTCTGATCCCAGTTTTGTTGCAGGCTGTCTTCGTCATCAAGTCACTTAGGCAATGGGGTTTTGTTTGTTTGCGGGTTTTGTGTTTAGAAAAAAACATCAGGCATTTCAGATTTGGATACCGCCACTCATTAAAAATATGTTTTATTTCCCATAGTAAAATAAAAAAAAGTATTCACAAAAAATACCAAGATTTATTGACAAGACCTTCTATAGCTTGCAAAAATGTTGCAGTTTTGACAAATAGGTTCTGTAAGTGATTTGTAGTCCAAGAATAAACTTATCCTTTTTTTTTTTTTTTTTTAAAAAGCAACGTGAAGTCTTACGATGTAAAATGACATAATGCTAGCAGAGAGAAATAATCTGACCCCTCTCCAGGTAACACTGGAGGAAGCAAAGGATCAGCACATAACTTCATTGATTTTACATAGGGATGAGTCTGCCTTTCATTCTGACCCAACTACATATTCACTGATATGAAACAGACCATTCAGAGCTGAAAGCACTGATCTCATCACTCCAGCTGAGTCTTAGGTTGTCCAACAGAATAACATAACATAGCATGAGATCTTGTATTTCTTGACTATTTTATCCCATTCATAGTTCCTCTGCTTCAATCCAGATCACTTTCCACAAAGTACTGGAGTCAAGACAGTCTGAGAGATGAGGTTTCTATGGCATAATGATGGGTATGCATGGAAACAAAGGGGAAGTCTTCCAAATTTAAGTATGTTCCTGTAATGTCAGATGTGTCACAGTACTTTTCCATACCAAGGTCCACTGCAGCAATCACAGACAGTGAAACTACATTGGGGAAGAAACTGGGACAAAAACTTTGCATCATCATTCTGAGATTATATACACAGCCACAGCAGCTCAACCTTCTCATAAATGCAGATTAAAGAAACTAGCTGGCCTCAAAATTACTGCAGTTCATCAGTGGAGAAGGTGCTTAAACTTCTTCAGCTGCACTTTAGCAGAGGCCCACACCATTGCAAAGAAGTAATTACTCTAGTCTTAATGCACAGTCTGCATGGTTCCCATGGGGAAGAAGCAGACAGATACATCAAAAAGAGAAAGATGTACTGTACACTAGAATGAGGTGAAGATAGAGGGAAGAAAATGATCCTGCAGTTCCCAGAAATGGAGCTGATAAATTTTTTGTCTCAGCCATGAGCTTCAGGTCAATCACCCTTCCAAACAGACTGGTTTGATGCATAGCCACAACATGAAGCTGGAGGACAGGTGGCAGTGTAAATCTGAACTGAGCATAGCTGCCTGGAAACCATGATATACCCCATATAATTTAATAGCAGGCTTGATCAACATTATTTCAAGTGAAAGAGTGGACTCTCCAAATACTTGTACAATTACTGATTAGGAGTCATCTATGCATATTTCTTGCTCACAATATTCCTTGGGGGAGCAAGCAAGGAAATGGGACGTACTCCTGTATTACTCATGCAATCTTCTAATATCTTCCGTGTTGTGTAGGTATCTTCCCTTTAGATTATTTCTGGAGAAACAAAGGGCAGCCAGATGAGTGAACTTCTGAAGCTAATTCTGAATCTTTTCTTTCAGAACAAGGGGTGAATGAAGTTATTTTCTGTTCTGAGGAATTTTAGTGGAAGTTTCAATACCCTAAATGGCAATGCAGACAGTTGGTTCTCTTCAGGGTTCAGACATTTCAGTTTTCAGTAGTTTTAGGGACCACTAGGCATTTATACGCTCTTCACAGTGCATCCACAGCCAACTTGACCACAGTTATATAATGTCCTAAGTCCCATTTGATGAACTAATAAACCAAGCTGTACATAAAAAATGCTATGTGTTTCTCACAGTGCACTTTACATTCTAGACACAATTGTACATACAAGATTTTTCCAATGATAATTTAGATACCTGGGTTAACTAGAGGGACAGGGGTGTGTGTATCTGAATGCATTAGACCTGTACACAGACAACATCAACACTAAGGTTAACAAAGAGCAACACTATCTCGTGTATGAATAATTCCTTTTCTACAGTTTCTATTTGGTGTGTTCATGTTTTAATTCTTATCTCACCAGCACTTCACACTGTTTGAAAATAACAACATATGGTTTGGAATTAAAGTTTCTCTTTCCTTATGATACAAACAACCATCAGGAGTATGTGGACATGTATGGCTCAAATGAGGGAATGACCGTATTTTGCATGGGGATATTCAACTTAAAGCTACCAACAAGATGCTTGCAAAAAGTGGCTGGCTCTACACTATCCACAGATATTTCTGGTATGCAATTATCATCTACTGGTTTTGTTTAAATGAGACCTTCACATAGGACAGGATTAAGAAGAGCGAGGGAGGGTGCAGTGAATATTCCCAATATATTCAGTGACACAATTAATATCCAAGTGTGGCCCACACCATTTTGATGTACAAGTCTGTTTTCATTTTATGTTGTTTATACATATGAGGTTCTTGATGTCACTAGGAATAAAGCTAATGTCATTATAGGCAGCATCCAGACACTAGAGATTTTCTAATAAAAACAACCTACAAAGAAAGAAAATAGAATGATGAATTAGAAACACAACAGCTGGACTCAGAATAATTTAGGCTGAAGGGGACCTCTGGAGGTCATCTAGTCCAGCTCTGCAGCTTAGGTCACAAAAGGAGTAGTGAAGGTTTTCAAAAAAGGGGTTTGACTGGTAGAAGGACCTTAATTTTTAAGTCACTTATCTACTTTTTATGGTCTTAAATGGTTGGGTCCATACAGATAGTGAGTCGGAAAGGTGGAGGGAAAGGATCACATTTTTAAAAGTTTGAAAAATATTGGTTTATCTCCTTAGGTCAAGAGCCCAGTGCTCCTAAGGGAGACAACCAAAGGTCTGAACTGGTGCTGCTCTGAGACGGGCTTTGGAGTAGATGACCTCCAGAACTCCCTCCAAGCCTGCAAATACAACCCTAAGTCATCCAAGGATAGCCTTTGCCCAGGCAGACACAGTCCTGGGCCTGATCAGGAGAAACCATGGTAAGAAATTTCTTCCTTATAGCTAACCTAAATCTGCCCTCTTTTAGTTTGAAAACATTACCCCTTGTGCTATTGCAACAGGCCCTGCTAAAAAGTTTGTCCCTATCTTTCCTGTAGCCCCTTGAGGTACTGGAAGGCTACTATAAGGTCTCCCTGGAGCCTTCTCTTCTCCAGGATGAAAAACCCCAATTCTCTCAGCTCTTCCTTATAGGAGAGGCATTCCATTTCTCTGATCATCTTTGTAGCCTCCTCTGGACCGGCTCCAGGACAATGTCCTTCTTATTTTGGGGGCAGCCAAAGCTGGACACAGTACTCCACTTGGGGACTCAGGAGAGAAGACTCTGAGGCGCAGAATCACCTCCCTCAACCTGCTGTCCATGATGCTTTTGGTGCAGCCCAGGATACATGGATTTCTGGGCTGCTATCACATATTGCTGGGTCATGTTCAGTCTAATCCACCAGTACTCACTCTGCTCAGCCACCAATATTTTCTTTGCTTTCATGCATAAGTATTATTCTGCACAGTAGGATGTTTTTTTACATTAGAGAGTCTAAAATAAAGGGAGGACACTTCCTGAAGCCTACAGTGTGTACAATAACATACAAGAGGGTAGAGGATGACAGGTCCTATATCATTCAATTAATATGGCAAAAGGGGACAAGCCATATGCAGTCTTGTCTGTACTACTTCGCAGGCTGGGAATCTGCATGAACCACCCACAGCACTACAGTAGAGTTTTATTTTAGAGGAAGCTGTTTGCTCATGTGAAGAAAAACTGGGGATGAATGAATATTTTTGCAATATAGATGATCAGGAAACCAACACGTAATAGAGTACAGGCACTGACACACAAGCTCCGAGAGCAGCAAGGTCATCTCACTCTTGTCAGTGCCCTGGTTCAGGCTTTCCTAATTGTGTGATGAAGTAAATGGCCCAATTCTGTGGCTGTCTCTAAACTCTGTTATTTTTGGCTTGCATTTTCTTTTTGTCCCACTCTCCCATGTTGTTCCAACTGTGTTAGACTTCCCTTTGTAACCTTTCTAACGCATATTGGATATATTTACTCAAGAAGCCTAGTCAAAATCTGGACTATAATTATCCTCTAGAGAGGATCCAAACCATCCAAACACGCAATCCAAAACATCTCCAGAGCCCAGGCAGAGAAATTATCTTTCATTTTGTCGTTCTTTTATTAAATTCTTTCTTTCATTTCTAATCTAGGAAATTTTTTACAAACTTTGATAGAAGAGCACTGCTTATGCATATTATTATTATATTATTATTATTATTACATCATGCATCATCATCATCATCACGGCTAGGCTTCGTGAATGAAGATTTGAGAGGGGCTCTACCCACGCTTGCTACAAGTGCGCTGATGGCTAAAAAGGCCAATGCGAGATAGACAAGTCTGGTTAAACTACATAGATGCTGAGATAGTATTTAACTATTGTCACATATAATTCCACATGCACTTTAGTGTATATAATCTGGCATCTAGTTCTGTGTAAACCAGACAATCATTTTCATGACAGATATACATTGAAGTATACCTAGATAACATACATTACCTATCAATACCTGTAGTAATATCGAATCTAAATCTAAGTGTTCCAATAAAGTCCAAGTTATAATAAATAGGTAGATTAACGCAAATAATGATTCATATAATGAAAGAAATATAATTTATACACTTTAGTGGAGTTTAGAATTTTCTTAGATCCCTGGCATCCATTTTGCAAGAAAAACAATGCGTCAGTGCTGAAGTACCAGGGTAGTAAGAGATGACTACAGTCAGAGTAAGACAGGATTGTCTATATTTTATTAAAATTAAAAACCCAAATGAAAATCTTTCTTTGTGTAAACAAACATCTACAACATGTGATTCTAAAGATGAAAAGCACTGCCAGCAAAAATGAAAATCCAACGCAGACATTCTCACCAGTAGCTGTGAAACAATCAAGAGATGTAGTATGAACAAGACAGTCTGAGGAAAAACTGATGTCAAGGTCCCAAGTGGAAATGTTGTGTCACTTCTTGTAGCAGAAAATTGCTTTTAGCCTTCAGGTATATCTTTTAAAGATGCTTTACTCATGTTGCTGTGATTAAGAGTCAGTAGCAGCTTTCATTCAAAGTATCTTTTGGAATTGTAACCTTGTCAACAGAAAAATGATCCTGTATTTCTTAGGCTGTCACTGCATGAAAAAGAAGTGCTTAGAATGATTTAAAACTAAAAATTAATGATTGAAACTTAATATTAGTGTAAATGTGGGGTAACTGATTTACATGCTTTTTTCCTGTGGTACGCTTGCCTAAGTTCTCCATTGTATATTTCTTCTTTCTTTTGTCTCACCTTCTTTTGCCATTTCCTCTGTACTTTTACTATGTCTCATCTTCTTCCTGGTGCATTCTGCATAATTTTCATGGCACTTGCTCAGCACTACACCTATTGTGAAAGTGTAATTCAATCCAAGTTATGTCAGCACCATACAAAGTAGCTGGTTTGACATTTTGCTGCCTGGGTGGACAGGAATGCTTGCATTTATGCCTGGTGAAGACCAGTATGCAGGGTTGTTATTCGTACGAACTAGACCTGGGAACTTTCTATCATCATTCTGCTCCATTTTCACTGTCGGGAAACTGGCTTCAGAGAGTATCAAACCTCTCTTTAGGTCAGGCAAACCTGTAGCTTTGGGCTAGAAATGTGTTTGCCCATATCCTGATTAAGGAGATAGGCATATCTATGCTGGAAACATGCAAGGCAAGAACAAACGTGGACAAACAGTTTGTGTATTGCCAGGCTGCAACTGAGTCTGAAGAAATAGCTCTTTGAGCTGGATTTGTGTTTGACTGTGGCAAATCTGATGAACAGACTGGGGTGTATCTTTAGGCTGGATTTTCAAGGGACTGTGGAATCCGTGCTCATTGCTGAGGGAAGCATCTGTCTGCCTGACTTGCCCTTGAGCACTGCCAGACTCTTTTTTTCCATTTTCATAATTTGTGCTCTTTATTGCCCTAGTTTGATATTGTCCAAAAATCCCTCCTGCTGAAAACAAGAGAAAAAAGGACACTTATAATGAGGCATGCTCTGGCATCGTTTTTGAGGAAAAGACTATGTGACAAATTCTCCATGTCCTATACGGATTTTTCCTGTTCAGAGAAAATGCACCAACAATTAAGACTGAGTATCTCAGTGCTGCCAATTGCAAAATACATTAGTCTTTTCTCTTTCAACACAAACGCAGTTCACCTACACACCGTTTTGAATGATGTGAAGTATGCAGTAGAAGAGCTGGATAGTAGAAGAGCAGGACAGAAAGGGCAGGTTTTCAGAGGCACCTTGTGAGTTTAATGAAGAATGAATGAGCAGTTTGTTCTACTGTGTGTGAAATACGGCCATTTGTATCACTGACAAGTCCCTCTTTAGGGATCTTGAATCCATTTGCAAGGAGCCACGTGCCAATGACACGTGATCTTTCACCTTTCATCTTTCTAGTAGATGGGGCTCCTTTGGTGAGTGTTGCCCTGTGTGCTTTATAGTGTTCACTGTATCACTTAAACCTCATGCTAATCCTACTGAATGGGAAAGGCAATTGGCGCAGATTCCATAGGAAAAAAGCACCACGGAAGGGGCATGTTTAAAGTGTGATGACGATAGTGAGGTCAGTTGTGATCGGACTGTGAAAGGAACAAGGGAATCAGCTTCTAAAAATTGTCCCAACAGTGACTGTAGATCGGGCATTTCACAGAATTTCTCGTGCCCTTTATAGGTGTTGCTTGTGTGACTGTGGTCATGGGGTGCATAATGTCAAACTGTCAGACACGCCTTAAATCTACGAAGAATTGATGAGGCTGATTGTGACAAACATAAGCTGGACCCCTAGCTTACCTTGAACCTGGCTCAAGCAAGGGCTAACAACGGGACAATATTTGTAGTAAAGCAGAGGCCTCACAGCCTGATGTTGTTTCAGTGAGGCACAAAGAGCACTCACACCACTGTATAACAAGTCTTATTGCAGATCTGGTCTGTTAAGGAGACAAAGATGCATGCACAGATCCTCTGGTGAAGATCAGACAGCCTTTATTGACACCTCAGCATGTGGCCAATGATCAAAGTGTTTATTCTACCTCCTGTGTTGACTGTAAATCCTGACCAAAATTAACCAAGACTCTCATTAAGCCAAATTTGCATATAGACTTTCACACCCTAAGAAGGCAAATGAAAAGTTAACATGCCTTACATGTATGATCACAGCTACCAAAACCCCACTTACAGTAAGAATTTGTTCTACCTTATCAAGAGGGGCCAAAATTATATTATGAGACATGGGGAGAAGGAGAAGGGGAAGAACCTCTGCCTGCTCTGGACTGGACTATGTCTCTCCTCCTCCCTGAAGGGATGCTTAGGTGAGCTTTGCATCTTCAACTGTGTTGGAGCAGATATATTATATATATGTTTAATTCTGAACCTGCTTTCCTCTTGCTTCAATGAACTGCACTGGTTTTGAATCTGGATCATACAAGTTCTTATTGAACTTGACCAGGCTGGTAGTGCCAAATTTGCTATAATCAGAAATTAAGCCCAGCCACACCCAGCCCCTCTGATCTTTGAGGACCAGCTGGAGAGTTCAAGGGGCTTTATTTTCTGCTAGATTTTGATATCCTTAATGCAACAGCTGGCACCAAGCCCTAGTGTCCTACACCACACCCACAAGGTGGGTTGACCTTGGCTGTGTACCAGCTGCCCACCAAAGCCATGCTGCCATTCCTTGGGCTAGACAGAGAGCAAAAATATAATGACAGCCTTCTAGGTCTAGATAAGGACAAGGAGAGATCATTCAACAGTTACCATTGGGTGGAAAACAGAATCAACTTGGGGAAATTAACTGAATTTATTATCAATTGAATCACAGTAGAGTAATGAGAAAAAAAACCAAAATCTTAAAGCACCTTACCCTCACACCTGCCTTCTTTCTGGGCTTAACTTCACTCCTGATTTCTCTCTCTCCTCCCCCTCTGTGGCGGAGGAGGATGGGGAATGGAGGTTGTGGTCAGTTGTCTCACTGTCTCTGATGCTCCTTTCTCCTTGGGACTCTGCACTCTTCCCCTGCTCCAGTGTGGGTCTCTCCCATGGGAGAGTTCTCCACACACCTCTCCAACATGAGAACTTCCCATAGGCTGCAAGGGCACAGCTACCTCACCATGGTCTTCACCACAGGCTATTGGGGAATCTGTGCTCCAGCACCTGGATCACCTCCTCCTACTTCACTGACCTTGGTGTCTGCAGGGCTGTTTCTCTCAGGTGTTCTCAGTCATTTCATCTCTGGCTACAATTGCTTCTGTGCAATAATGTTTTTTTCCCTTCTTACATCTGCTGTCCCACAGGTGCTACCACTGTTGCTGATGGGCTCAGCCTTGGCCATTGGCAGGTCCATCTTGGAGCCAGCTGGCATTGACTCTGCTGGACATGGGGGAAGCTTCTGGAAGCTTCTCACAGAAGACACCCTTCCTACCAAAACTGTGCCATGGAAACTAAATGTATCAAAGGTTCATTTCATACACCTCACACTAAAACTGGATTTTGGACTTTGCTACCAGGGCTATCTCCAAAGACCTCATTCTGGAGGACCGTTGATTCCTTAGCTAGTCCCCAGTTTCTGAACAGTACTGCAGCCAGCAGTCAGTTAGACCTGAACATTTTCATCAACAAAGAAATACTTAGTAAATTATCCTTTATTTAGCCTGTTCATTTCCACAAGGTTTGTGCTCTGCTCCTTCTGCTAGTGAGATTCGTTTCCATGGGCCTGCTGAGGGAGAAGTCACTATAGCTCTCTGCTACAACTCAGTTCTCAAAGAAAGCTGGGGCCATTGGCGTATCTCCTTGGTTTTCTTGATTCACCACAGTGGCTGGCAGCTTTCTGTGCCTCAGCTGGGCACTGTTCACCTCCGTGACATTTCTGCTGCCTTTTCAATCAACTTAATTTTGTTACATCCTCACTTTCTACACTCCCCTGTGGGGAAAAGACACTTAGACCACATGTCACTATTTTTTTTTTCTAGCCCAGGGCTTCTGCTCTTAGGTTTCAGTCTCACACTTCATGAAGCACAAAATTAGGGAATTACCACTGATGAAGTGTTGCTAGCTGATCAGTGGACATGCTGCTGTATAAATGTCTTTCAGCTGTGATAGTCACATTTGGAGAAAATGATCCTTGAACAAACTTCAAAGTGAGCTCTTAGATTTTTGTCATGTTTACCGTACAAATACACAATCTATAAATAGCATTCATCACTAATAAGTACTACTGCAACAAGAGCCATCACAATAGAATTTTGTTTCAGGATAAAAGGTTTATCTATAATTTTTAAAATGGTTTAAATCATTGAAACACAGCTCTGCTAGTGAGCCAGAAATATTTACATCGGTTTGGGCAGCACCAGACTGGAACTGTATTGTATAGAAACAGATTTTACCAGCCTTTCAAACTAATATTCAGAAGGGCTTAATAATATCAAAGGAACAATAATTGTATTATCTGACTTTTCAACTTTACTTCTCTAACTGAATTTTCTTTACTATTTTTCATACTGTTATAAAGGTATTACTTTTAACATATTATTGTTATTCCTTCTAATTTAATATTACATAATGATGATAAGAAATACAGTATGACAGTATTCTAATAAAATGAAAATTCAAATTACCATTTCACTCAAACATAATAAAAATTATTCTAATTTATTTTCTTTCTCTTTGCCTGCTTTATTGACTATTTGAATATTGAGGAGTTTTAGCTATTTAAATACTTCTATAGAATTACAGAAGCTAAATGGAGAAAAAACAAAACTTGATTTGGCCTCTTTAACTCAGTTCAAAGGGACAGCATTGTTTTTTCATGCTGTAACTTTGTTCCACTGTGCTGATCCAAGAAAAAAAACATTGTAAGTTTTCTGTATGCTATTCTTCTGCAGCAGATTCTGGGGCTTGACAGAATGTTGAGAGAAGTCAGTGAACCTGTACATATGCCAGGGTCCTTTTCTACACATCTGTTTTCAGGGGTGGCGCCTAGTTTCCATCTTATTTTTGTATTACTTAGGTTAAATATGTTTTGATTATAGATCATGTTGTTGTTTTACACATTTATTTTTAAAGGTTAGTCCTTAAATATTTAATCAATAGCTACTTTATATAAACTGGAAAAAGCTTTTCATTCACATATATAGGCACACAGACTGCCCTTTTTTTTCTGAAGCATAGTGCATGGCAAGTCCTTTGTTTTAATTAGAAATCCCTGATGAATGTAAAATAATATAAGCCAAGATACACCTTTTCACAGGGATGTATATTCTGAGAAGAGCAGGACCATCCACCAAAACATAAATTTTTTCTTTTTTTTCTGAATCCAGGTTGCATCTCACTTCCCCTGTGGTCTGACTCCACGTGATCTAATTTAATTTTTTTTTGATTCCAGCAGCTTTCCATGTTATCTCTCATGTGTTTTGATGAGCTAGGGGGAATGCCTCTGTTATCCAGTGGGTTGTATTCAAGTCTGATAGGTGGAAGACTCAGCTTCCAGGACCTGTCCAGAAGACTCTTCCCCTATTTACAAGAAGAGCATCCCAAAGAGATGAAGGTCATGTGGGTCACACTGCAGTCTCATTTACTCTGCTTTGCACTAGTAACTTAACTGCCAATCTATTTTCTTCTGTGTTAATTTTAGAGAACACATGGAATTTTTACCCATGCACTATAGGAACTGTCTTTGTGAGGTTTACCTTTCTCAGCGTTCTCCCTTGGCACAGACAGTTTAGACAGTAGCTTAGGAGGCAGAGGTCTATGAAACGGTTTTGGCTGCTCAACCATTTCCTGCTTATCCTTTGTTCCTGATGGATGACTGAAGACATTTCAAAAATCAGAAAAAATCTTACAATGCAAAACAAAAGAAATAGTCACCTCTAGTTTAAGGTGCTGAGCTATAAATGTCTGCTTAGATAAATCAGTTGATAAAAGTCACAAAACATTAGAAGAGGCCAAAAAGGGTATTTTTTCTCTTACTGACTGATTCAACAGTTTTCCTATTTATCATCATTGTTTCAGGAAATAAATCAGTCACACACACACAGAGGTCTATTCTATTGACTTCAAGTGCTTTCATTAAAGAACGTTTTTCAGCACTTGGGGTGGTCCTGTGCAGCACCATGAGTTGGGGTCCCTCCCAACTCAGGATATTCTATGATTCTAGGATTTTATAATTCTACGACCTCTGTCACAAAAGGTAAGGCAATTAGGGTTTTTAATGTCTGAGCCAAAGGAGGAACAGTAAAATACAGAAATGCCCCATGTCAACCTCGAAAGCTCTGAAAGCTCCCCAGAAACAGTTTTTTGCTGGATAAGCAGATTTAATAAGAGCAACTGTTAACCCTTGTAAAAGGCCAAGTCTGCAAGTAGCAAATTTATGCTTCTTTCTAGTTTTCTATTAGTTTACAAATGTATACAATGGCACTGATTTTAATCAAAGACTCTCTGATTTGGTTTCAGAAATTCTCTAAATAGTAGTCAATTTTAGCAAATCTCTGATTCACAGTAGTTTTGAAGATTATCTACATCCTAAATTGCAGAGTTTGTTAGTCATATATTTTTTTCCTTGTAGGGCTAAATATATACAACATCACACAGTATAAATACTCAGTCCTAAAGAACTGGAAATCAGAAAGAAAACAGAAAAGGGAAAACACTGAAGAAGATGACTGAAGAGAAACTGAAAGTGCCATCAGGAAGCTAATGTCTCACAGAAAGATTTACGAAGTTAAGAAAACTGTACACACAGCTAGAAGCAGGGACATCTCCAGGCAAAACTTTTTTCAGTAATTTAATTTGAAAGTAGATAAACTTGAGACTTTGGTGCAATTTTTCATGTGGACAAGATTAATTTAAATGAAGAGTAGCATTATATAAAACTGTGATCAAAAAAACCAAAGACAGTCCTGAAGCCTATAAGCAGAAATGAGTTCAGATTTGAAACTTACCTAATGGACTTGAATGGCAATTAAACAAGGGGTTGGAGAAAGGGAGAAACAGGGGAAGATTGAAAAGAAAACCTGGAGTTCAATTATAAGGACAGTGAGTTTGAATAAATGGGCAAATATTGCAACAGGATGAGATACCATGACACAATGTTAACCAGAGGATGGGGACAGTAACCTTGCAATAAACTGGAGGCATAGGAGGAAGAATATATAATATAGAGAGTATATATATTATATATAATTTATATATTATATAGAAATTATATAATATAATATATATGTGTAATGTATAATGTTATATATAATATATATAATATTTAAAAAAACCCAACCAGACACCAAACAACCCAATAACAATAACTCTCCTCCCTCCTCCAGTGAAAAGCTTCTTAAAAAAAGCCAAAGAAGTTGAGCTTGAAGAACAGGAACAAAACGCTCCATAAACCAAATAACTTCCCTGGTGATACACTGCATCTTAGCATTCCAGTCTTTTACTCTTCAAGATAAGGGTTCTGGCATCTGCCTCATGGATCACTGCATTCTTGGAAGATACTCCAGGCTGTCTCTAGTCCAAACTCCTGCTCACAGCAGGGCTGACTATGAGGTCTGAGCATGTTACTCAGAGCTGTACGCAAAGGTGGAGACACCACAACCCTTCTAGGCAACCTCTGGGCCTCTTTCCAACATTGATAAAAAAAACCAAGACATAGAGTACACACCTGATCAGGGCACACATCTAAAGATAAGTGTTCTTGTTTTCTCTCATTTATAGGTAACCTCTATTGAAACTGGCTGACAGATCAAAGATGTTGAGAAATGTTCGCAGATTTGGTTAGGAAGAAATTATCAGTGCCTAGAAGAGCAGTGCCTGCAAAATTCCTGGCAGAAGAACAGAATGGAAAGAAACAAAGGCCTAGGGTGGAAGTGGAGTGAAAGAATTCCTGATAGTGAGTGTACATGGCACATTCAATTGATTCAGAGACAGGGAAAGAGGTGAAAGCACAAGAGGAAACCTGAAGTTATGGAGATGAGCAGGGTTGATAAGAACAAAAGCAGGAGTCTCAGTGGGGGAGTACAGCAAATGCCACGCAGACAAGAAACCCTAGTGCTTCTGGAAGTGAAGAAAAGTAGAGTTGTACAAGCTACAAGAGACAGAAAAGATAAAAGCAAGTCAAAGGGAGAGGGAACATGATTTTCTCATGAGATAAAATTGACCATTACACTTGGTGAGTTTCTTGGAAAAAGTCAAAATGAAAGCAGAACAGAGAAATATAAAGTCTATGGCCACAAAAATATGGCTGTAGTCACTACTGTAGGTGTAATCTAGTTCACGGCTCCAGACAGTTGAGACAGCAAGACTTACCAGTGCTGCAGAAGGGAAGAAGAACACTCGTAGTGAGGAAATTCAGCCTGGTGAAGGATACAGCAACAAAGGAAGGATGTGTCTGTGATGAACCCTGCCAATTCTCCTTGCTGTGGGAGGAGACCAAAGTCAGGGTCTGAAGGTGGGAGAGAGTGGCAGGGGGAACGAATTCACAACAAACATATCATGAAGAGTGGCACAGAGAGACTTTATATGCAGATCCAGAGGAACTTGGATACAGTTGTATTCTACTCTAACCATGGCAAAATATCTGGAACTTTCAGCTGCACAGTATAAACAAACAAACAAACAAAAAACACACCAAAAAAAACCCACAAAAACCAACCCACGTTAACGCTGCTGGGGAAGAAGCATCTGTTCTGTGTTTCGGCTTAAAGCATAAACTCGTTACAGAGGTACCCTTAAAATACATATTTTATTGAGCAATACAGCGACTGCCCAGCGTAGCCACACGGCTCCCGGTGGAGGGGCGTGTCCTGGGGCGTTCCCGGGCGGGGGACAGGCGGGGCACGGGCGGCGGCGCCCGTGGGAGCGGGCGGAGGGGCTGCGGCAGCGGCAGCGCGCCCACCCCCCACCCCACCCCCCAATCAACTCCGCTGCCGGCATCGCCTGTTGCTGCGCCGCTCCTCGCTGGTAACTATTCTCTTTAATTGTCATTGATAGGTGGAGTAGATGATGACGGTGGGTTTTATCATCACCATCATCATTGTTACTGTTACTGTTATTTTTGTTGTTGTTATTATTGTTATTGCTGTTATTATTGTTTTCCACTCTGTGCTTACAGGAAAAAAAAATAAATTAAAATTAAAGTCACAATTAAACGGATTCCCCGTCGCCCGACAGGGAGGGCCCGGGGAGAGTGGACGCCAGGCGGGCGGTGACTGTCTCCGCTGCGGGACAGGAGGGAGCGGTGCGGGAATCCCGGCAGTGAGCCTTCTCCCTCCGGGACCGAGGGGAGCCGTGCCGGAGTGCCGGCAGTGACCCTTCCCGGCGCGGGACCGGGGGAGCGGTGCGGGAATCCCGGCGGTGACTCTTCCCGCTGCGGGGAGCGGTGCGGGAGTGGCGGCGGCGGTCCAGCCGGGCATCGCAGGGGACGCGGGGTGCGGTGCGCGGCTGAGGACGCGGGTGCGGGTGCGGATGCGGAGCCGTGCGCGGGGAGCGGACAGGATCGGAGCGGTGGACCCGGGGCTCCCTGCTCCTGGTTTCACGCTCTGCCCTGCCGCAGCAGTGCCGCTGGCTGTGCCGGATGGGATAGCAGGTGTAAAGCTGGTGCTTCTCCGTGCGAACTGGGTCGAGCTGCGCCAAACCTCTTCAAATTAACCTCGGAAATATAATTACTTTGAGACATAGGTCCGACACCACAGTCCTCATTCGAGCAAGCCCCGTTTGATCAAGTGTGATGGAAATCTTGTCTGGATACAAAGTGTTTTGAGAATGACTTAGAAATATGCTATAGGAGAGGGACTGGAGAGGGCAGGGGTGGGATACTGAAGTGGAGGCAGTTTTGGTATCTCTGGTAGCTGAAAATATTCTCTTGAGGTTGCATTTAGGGACTGATGAGTAGTCTGCATCTGTGTTACAACAACACTGACCACCCAGAATAGTTTCCTCTGTCAGAAACTGCTTAGCTGATACATTTAGTCTTAGTGTTTATTTTTTAAATTTGTCTTTGTACACAGGGTCCCACTAAAGACAACTTCTTTATCACTGTAATAGTTTTGCAAATATCTGAAGGGCATTTCCTTTGCCTCACTATGGAAATGAAGAAGCTGGTTTGCATGTTGCAGATGACTCTGCTGTTTGTCTCCTGCCTGCAAGGTTAGCGTTTCCCTACCAGGCTGGCAGCAATCAATTTCCTTCTCTTTTCTCTGCTTGTCCTCTTTCTTTGCACGTACTTCACTTCGTAAAGTGAGTGGAATAGGCTGAGGGAAAAATTTGGATGCCTTTCCTCAAAAAAGCTGCATAAATGAAATTAAAGGTATGGTTGCAACATGCATAATAGATGCCAGAGGGGAATTATTTATGTAACACACCAAAGCACTTACTTTTTTTTTTTTTTAATGTAATCATCATTCAAGAATCAATATTGTGCCCCAGTGATTTATTTTATCATTGGCTTTTGTGCTTAGCGGTGCGAGATTCAAAGCAAAATGTCACAGCAAACAAATACACGTTACGTGTGTGCCACGTGGAACTGCAGCTCTGCCCTGTTAGGCTGTGAGCACTTCTGGGCAGGGCCGCTGGTGTCACCATCTTTGCAATGGTTGTGTCTGCACCGTGGTGCAGCCCCTCACTGCGTGGTGCTCAGGGCTGGCAGGACACCTTACTGCCCACTGGGAGGTGGAATGGGGGTGTTCGTGCTTGCCTTTGCATTTGGAGTTAGGGTACAGCCAGGGTGAGTGTCCAAACCTGGGAGCCCGGACATGCTCCCGAGTCCCTTGGTTTCTCGTAGG